TATTAGTCTTTTAATTGTTGTTTGAGATACATATTAACCAGTATGAGATAAATATTCATGAGGTTGCCGTTCTGTATCTTTCCCCATTCTCATCAGGGTCTGATATTTTGGGGGGAGCTAAGGTGTGGAGGGGCAGAGCACAGTTCCCTAATTAACAGTATTAATAAAACATTGATAATAGCTACTACTTAGAGTTTTAACATGAGCAGGAGCTATGCTAAGCATTTTTCATGTATTCTCATTTAATCCTTATCGTCAACCCTTTGAGACTGGTTTTTGTTATCCCCATTTTATGGATGAGAGAACTTGAGTCTCAAAGAGATGAAATAACTCTCCCAAGGTTACACAGCGGTGGAATTGGAATTGGAATTCATAGCTGACCCCAGAGCCCCCACTCTCGACTGATAAATTATATTGCATTTGTGTCATGATCTACTTAATAATCCAGTCAAGTAAAGCTCTTTTACTCCTTGCTCCAAATAGCTCTGAATCCAGTATGTGATTCACTCCATTACACAAAAGCCACATCTACTCATCTTTCTGAGACCATCACTCCTCTGTGTTGGCCCTCGCTGGGATGTTTGAAAGGATCGGTGAGGCACATTTTTAATCTCTTAGTGAGGGCTGTGTGACTCCTCTAACCGTTTGATCTTTCTGAAGGGTCTGACACAGTGGTACCACAGTGATGTCACTGATACAGTGACACAAGCAAAAGGCAAAGTATGTACAGTGGCATCCTTAAAGAAGAGAAGAAATGGTTTCATTTTAAACTGCTTTCATTCTTAAAGGTAATGAGGGGGCATCTTCAAGGCAAGTGAAGAACTACTGAACAATTATCCATTAGACTGTTCAGGTAATGGTCCTTTTGTCATAAAAAAAATAGAGGGATGGGGAAGAAAGAGCAAAGAAAAACTGGACGCCTGTTATGTGACTATCCCAAGTCACATAAAATTGAGAAAAATATATTGAGGAAGTTCTGTATAGCAACCTTTAATTGCTGTGTTAACAGGTGTAGAAGAGAATATAATGAAAGAAATAATAGAAGACGTTTTCTGAGCTAAGGGAAGACTTAAGTCTTTGGATGGATGAGATTCATGTAATTTAAAGGTATCAAGCAGGAATAATGAAAATATACAAATAGTTATATATGTGATGATGAAATTTTTTTGACTACAGGATCAGAAACAAAAACAATGATAATTTAAAAATTGCTCCCAACACTTCCAGAAAGGAAATAAACAAGCTAACTAACATACAGCTCATACATAAAAGGACAGGAACCAGGTAGGAAACAGACTTATCTGAAATAGCAGAAGCCAGAAAACAAAGGGAAACAAAGGAGGCTAGCTTAACATGAAAGGTTGGGTGTTGCAGGAAAGGCAGTGTAAGAGAGGAGATGGATAGGAGACAAGGGAGGGAAAAGAAAATCTGAGCAGAAGTCACGAGGTGTACATACTGGGGAAAGGGCTTGCTGAGGAGGGTGTTATTTTAAAACTTGGCCCTGTGTGACACAATTCAATTTTCTCGTTGTCACATCCTCAGAGACCTAAATTACATTAAAAAATTTGGAATTATATTTTGTTTTTCTTTTGATGTAAAACTGTGCTAAAGCACATCGATTCTACTGGAAGTTCAAGAGCCCTCTTACCATCCTAGGGTATTGACAGCTCCAAGGGCATTAATTGGGCCACACACACCAGCAGATGGAGACATTGCACTTTAGAAATTCAAGGCAAGATGTGGCTTTCCCTTCTCCCTTTCACAGATGTGGGCTGGAAGGAGCCAGCATTCCTTCTTAGAGGGTGGGAAACTGGCCAGCTCTTATTTCCCTGGCTATTCCTGCCATGTTTCCAAAATATGATGCAATCTGAGATGCGGCTTTGGATGTTTGAGAAGCAAAGAAGCATGAAATGGAGCAGGACTTTAAGCCTGCTTTTGCTCGATGATGGAGTTCACTCATCAACATGTGCTAACAGGTAAGCGATTGCTGCTATAAAATTGCATGGTTTACAAGCAAATCATCACTGCCATCACTCTAGCGCAAGGCACTATCATTTTTCACATTGAGTTTTCATGATCCTCTGCTATTATGTAATGCATTCATGATGCTTCAGCAAGAGTGGTATTTTATTTTATAATCACAATTAAAAATTGTCAGAAGGATACATGTATGTAGTTTAAAAATTAAACAATAGAGATATATTTTAATAAAACAGGGGTCCTTCGTGCCTCCCCTTTACTCCAATGGACCAAACCCACAAAGAAATCTTATTTTAATGGATGATATTAACATGAATGGACTCAGAATTAGGTCACTTTTTGTGGGGGATGGGAAGTAATCTAAGGATCAATGAATTTATAAGGATTAGAAACATACAAAGTTTGCTTACTGACCAAAATGAAATTAAATTAGAACTCAGTGTAAAAATATACTGTCAAATCTCTGCAAACTAAAAAACACACTTCTTTTGAATAAAACGGGAGTCCATTAACTCTTTTATTATATGACGTCACAGACGTTTGCAACTCCTAATGATTCCATACCTTTGTTGATATGTTTATTTTATGCTGTATTTTTGCCCTAATTGCAGCTCTGTGCTTCTTGTTAGCCT